CAGAGCCACACAGGTTGAATAAATAGCATTTAGTCGTAAGAGATCTAAGGCAATTATTAGTCTCTGGGGGAGGGGGGTCTAGGGAAATAGCAGGACTACTCATGCATCTAATCCCAAAGAATGTAGGGAAAAAGTCCCTTGGGGATCTAGGGAAATAGTCCCTGGGAGATCTAGGGGAATAGTCCTTGGGGAATCTAGGGGAATAGTCCTTGGGAGATCTAGGGAAATAGTCCTTGGGGGGTCTAGGGGAATAGTCCTTGGGGGATCTAGGGGAATAGTCCTTGGGGGATCTAGGGGAATAGTCCTTGGGAGATTTAGGGGAATAGTCCTTGGGAGATCTAGGGGAATAGTCCTTTGGAGATCTAGGGAAAAAGTCGCTGGGATCTAGGGAAATAGTCCCTGGGGATCTAGGAAAATCATATTTGGGAGATCTAGGGAAATAGTCCTTGGGGATCTAGGGAATTAGTCCCTGGGGATCTAGGAAAATAGTATTTGGAAGATCTAGAGAAATAGACATACCACTCATGCACCTAAGTCCCTGGGGGATCTAGGGAAATAGTTTAAACTTCAGTAATAACAGATAATCAAAGCCCGAAATTGACATAATCTACATATCAGTAGACAGATGTACTTTTCTTAGTTCAATAAAACATACTGGCAATAAATCGTTGACATACATATCAATTCAAATAAAAAAAGGACAGGCTATTTCTGGAATGTTTTATTGCCAGAAAACAGTCAGTATGTATAGATTTTTTTTGTACTTTGAATATATATATATATATACACCTTAAGGTATGCCTATTCATTTCTTTCCTTTACTAATATGAAATGAAAACTACAAACCAACAGGGAGTGGGCACACCTGATAATGCCGACATAGGTATATCTATAAATCATTTAAGTCCAAGTATGAATATTTTTCAGGATTATAAACTTGTCTGGAGGGGACAGATCGGTCAACAACCGCTGCCACAGTGGACAGTGGACAGTGGACAGAGCTTTATTACAATGTTTTAGCATGCAGAAAATGTATGCATGATAAATATCACTTAATTTAAAATTCATGACCTCATTGACAAAGATGGGGAATGACTTTTACATTCAACAAATGTCTAAATCATCCGAGGTTATTCACCTAGCACGACAAAGCTTTAGAGATATTGTCCAGGAAAGTTTATCTTCAATCTTCAACCCTATAAAAAAACCTGATAAAACTTACAGATTTCTGAAGAAATATAAATCTTCATTTCCTATCTTATCGTCATCCAAACATTGATAAAACGTGCGGATAACAGACCACGTTTGTATTTTTATCTCCGACGACTTCATCTCCTTGAGACATCCACATGTGGTCAGTGTGTATATTAGACACATTGAAGGAAAACATCCAAGTGATTGAGATTGTAGCCAAAACACCTGAGTGATGGAATGGTAGCCAAACATCCTAGCCACAAAACTGTAGCCAAATGTCTTAGTGTTTGAGATTGATGTCAAACATCTGAGCGACTGAAATTGCAGCCAAACATCCCAATGACTGAGATTGTAGCAAGATCTTAATAAACCTAATACACTAATTTATTATTTATATTCGAAAACAAGAAAGTTTTAATATCTATCTGAAAGACGAAAAGATCATAAATATTTATCAAATCCAACCCCCCCCCCTTTTTTTTTTACTGTAAAAGGAATTGATTTAAAAAACTTTCGGTGTACCATAACGAAACCATTCATTGTCTCCATTAGTTCTGTCAAAGTTTGGCATTATAAAAAGGTTTCGAGACATCAATGAGGTAGACGTATATATATAGGTATTGTTAGATAAAAATGGAAGAGGCGACCTTGAAATATATATTAGGCGACATATGAGAGGGTGTACATGTTATATTGATATTTTGTTATATCTTAATAGCATTGTACGATATTGTATATTGAAGTTATTAAATTGTGTCGTGATATATATCATTGTATGATGTAGTTCATCTGAATTTCACAAACATCAAATATACATGAAATTCATATCATTTCCGCTGTTACAGGAACTTGTTATTCTAATTTAACTGGAGCACTTCCTAACCTGTTTCATCCCTTAAAGGTCCTTGGTTACATAATTAGAAAGCCAGGAAGGAAGTGACAGCTTACTAAAAGGCTGAGGACTTGTAAGTCTGATGCCTAATGGTAACAGCCTCAGACAGGATTGAAATTCAACTTTTAGATGAACATTTATAATTGGTTGCTGTTACCGAGTGTCCTCCCCCTACCCCTTGAACTTGAACCTTGATATACTTTTCGATAAACGTCAAGTTTTGGTGTCATACAGTACAGTAACAGAGTGTAGCATTAATATATATATATTTCATAAATTTTCTTTGTGAGTTTTTTTATTATTACAGTCTTGCATAAGTATTGACAGTCAAACTGTATTTGAAAGCCCATAAAAAGGTCCCTTAACACAGGTTGTCTCTTAATGAAGGTTCTGTTAAAAATAAAATTTCTATAATAGAGAGTTTTTAAAGTAGTATCCTTAACACAGATGGTCTCCTTACAGAGGTGGTCTGTTGAGCAGGTTTGCCTGTAATGGGACTTTATATCATCTCGGACAGAAATAACTAGAAGCTGGATATCTTACATCATTGATAAAGATACCGCCCAGGCCTGTTCTAACATAATTTTAAGGTTTGTTGGGATGCTTAGTCACCGATACAGCAGAGTAGCCTTATAATAAACACCTTTATCATAATGTGTACATATTGGAATACTGCCATGGGACAGAAAGCACAGATACACCTCCAAGTCCCCCTTTATTGTCCCACTCTCAGCTCCTCTATCGTTTCCCTCGCACCTCCTTTACCCTCCCTTTCTGAACTCTTCTATCATCCCCTCACTTGTCCCTGCCTTACCTCTATTTCCCATTCTGACACTCTCTAGCCCTTTATCATCTCCTCACTTGTCCCTACCTTACCTCTTTTTCCCATTCTGACACTCTCTACCCCTTTATCATCTCCTCACTTGTCCCTGCCTTCCCTCTATTTCCCATTCTGACCCTCTTTAACTCTTTATCATCCCCACACTTGTCCCTGCCTTACCTCTATTTACCCTTCTGACACTCTCTAACCCTTTATCATCCCCTCCCTTGTCCCTGCCTTACCTCTATTTACCATTCTGACACTCTCTAACCCTTTATCATCTCCTCACTTGTCCCTGCCTTACCTCTATTTCCCATTCTGACACTCTTTAACTCTTTATCATCCCCTCACTTGTCCCTGCCTTACCTCTATTTCCCATTCTGACACTCTCTAACCCTTTATCATCCCCTCACTTGTCCCTGCCTTACCTCTATTTCCCATTCTGACACTCT